TTGGTCCCAAGCTGGTGCAAGACGGCCCTAACCCAAAACCCATAACCCAGAGCCTTGTTTCTGTGTCCCCTTCCTCCTTCTCCTCCTCCTCCTCCTCCACCTCGGCCGCCAGGTGGGTTCAAAACTGCTTTCTAAAGGTCCCCGAGAGGCGTGCCGCGAGATCCCTATACACATACAACAAGTTTCTAACCAATAGCACATATCCCAGAGTTTCGTCTCTGTGTCCCCGTCCTCCCCCTCTTCTCCTCCTCCTCCTCCACCTCCTCCTCGCCCACTCCTCCTCTTCCTCCCCCGCCTCCTCCTCTTCCTCCCCGATTCTTCTCCCCCCATCCTCCGCCTCACCCCCCATCCCTCTCTCCCCCTCCCCCCTGTCCTCCCACGCACGCACGCCCCCGATTGGGCATCATTTGCAGGTCTTGCATATCAGGGTGCCCTTTTTTGCATCGCGTGCGACGTTGGCAGGGTTCCCGGAGAACGCCGACGTCGGTAGTCTTCTCTTGCACGCGCCGCCGCACTGATACGCCTGGCAACTGCGGGCTGTGAACCCGAGGTTCCGGCAAGACCGCCAAGATGAGGGGTCGGCGGATGTGGCGTAAGCCTATAGAATCACAAGAGGGTTCCAGTATTTGTATCCTTCAGCGCTCTCTGGCCTTCTTCCCCCTGCCCCCTTCCCTGCGATTTTCGTTGACTCAAGCTCGCCTCCTAGCTAGAACCTAAGCGCGCGAAGCGCGCGCGTGGTTCTAGTATATATATATATATATATATATATATACATACACAAGCCTGCATTGGTGCTTCGCACCATGCACCCATATTGGGATGCCGGCAAAAGGGCAGGAAAGTAAAACTGATCATTTAGTGATACCTCCCTGTTGCATTTCCCGACAGCGTCGTTGTAAGAATGTCATGCGTTATCCTTTGCTCAGATGTCCTCTTCATGTTCTCTTTCTCGCCCAACCCTGCAACTTCTTCCCCATCCTCTTCAGCTCGAGCTGAAGAGGATGGGCACCTCCTCGGAAAGAGAGACCTCCTTGGAGAGCCCCTTGGGGGCATCACGAAAAAAACAGCCCAGCAAAGGACCCAGCCATATGCAGTTGTGAGAGCCGCCGCAGTTGTGACGAAAAGAGCAGGGGGGGGGGCATGCGGGCGGTGTCACTGGAGCCTTCGGTGGAGCTCCCCGTGGGGCCACGAGACGTGTGAGGGGTGTGTCGACGTGGGTGTGGGGGACGCATGCGGGCGGTGGCACTGGGGCCTTCGGTGGAGCTCCCAATGGGGCCACACAACATGTGAGGGGCGTGCCGAAACCGATGTGGGAGACGCATGCGGGCGGTGGCACTGAGGCCTTGGGCGGAGCTCCCCGTGGGGCCACGACATGTGTGAGGGGCGTGCCGAAACGGAGCTGTCGCCCACATGCGGGCTGCGCCACTGTGGCCTTGGGTGGAGCTCCCTATGGGCCACGAAGCGTGTGAGGGGTGTGCCGAAACGAGGGTGACGATGCTGATGATGAGGGGAGGGAGGGGGAGGAGGATTGAATGAGGGAGAGACGCGGGGACTGTCCCTTCAAAACGAGGACCCAACACCACAGGATGGTTGGGAATAAGGGCTTCTTCGGGCCATCTGGAGGCCTCCTAGGCGCCTTATTGGGACCTCTGGGGGCTTCCTCGGGCCACCCTGCTTCCAACCGCAGTCTCCCTGAACGACTGGGTCACGATTTGTAATGCTTCGGGGGGCATTTTGGGGTAATCTTGGACCGTCAAGAGGCTCTCACCAAGCAATCCTGGGACTCTGCTGGGCCGTCTTGGGGCTCTCGTGGGCTGCCTGGGCATCCTTTTGGGTAAATGTGGGGGATGCCATTCCCCAATTAGGCTTGCCTACGGGGTTCATACTTGGTTAAAGTTTGGTGCCTCGGAATGTTACTTTGCACGTTCCTAGGAGATTTCTCGGGTTCCTCGGGTTCCCTGCCCCCGGTCCCGGTGCCTCCTACTGTTACGTTGCCCGTTACTCGGAGGTTCCTCGGATTCCCTGGGTTCCTCGGGTTCCCCGCCGCCACCACACCAGACTCGACCGTGTCACGCGTCCGCTGATGCACGCACGTGCAATCATGTCACCACGTCAGTCTCCACCATGGCACGCGTTCGGTGATGCTCGCAGCCGTGTGGCTCAGGCGCGCTCGAGCCCAGTCTTGCTCCGTGCTTGGTATCCTCGGGCTCCGTGGTCTCCTTCTTCGGGTTCGCAAGACATGCCACACAATGCCAAGCTGTGCCAGTTAATGCCAAGCAATGCCGAGCAATGCCAAGCAAATCCAAACGATGCCGAGCAATCGCAAGCAGCGCCAAGCAATGCAAAGCAGTGCAAATCCAAGCAAACCAGCGCAAAGCACTGCCAAGCAATATGCCCATGCAACAGGGAGCTGTCCCCTAATTGGGGTCGCGCCGGGTTCATTCAAGCCTCTTGGACGGCCTCTGGCGCACAGGAGACCCCAGAACAGAGCATCCCCCAAATCATGCAAAAACCAAGGCAGGCAATCAGTGTGCTTTGCGCTTCGCAGGCCTCGTGAAGGTCTGCTGTGAGTCGTCTTCGGGCGTCTGGTCGGTGTCTGGGGTTTGTGGCCCTCGCGGGGCCGTTCGGCCGCCTTCCTGACAGCCCAGACATCCGGCTGCTCCAATTTTTTGGGTGCATGGGCCCAGGAGGTCCAGGCCACTTCCCTGGGACCGGGTTTTCATCCGAAATAATTGTTGGACGCTCCCGAGGCCCGGCAAAGGCCCCCGGAGGCCGACAACGGCCAAAAACCGCCTGCTCCATTTTTTTTTTGGAGCGTCGGATCAAGGAAGTTTAGGCCCGTTCTCTGGGCCCAGCAGGGGCTTCCAGGGGGGGCCCAGGGTCAGGGATCCGGGGGGTCCCGTTTAGGGTGTGTGTGTGTGTGTAAGTGTGTGTGTGTGTGTGTGTGTGTGTGTGTGTGTGTGTGTGTGTGTGTTAGTGTGTGTATTTGTTTTTTTTTCCGCAGGGTCCCAGAATGCATCGCATAGAACACTGAACATATACACACGTATATATATATATACATATATATATATACTAGAACCATCGCGCGCGCTTCGCGCGCGCTCAGGTTCTAGCAGGCCCCAGGCCTTGACGAATTCACTGCTCCACTGAAGTAGTGGACCACAGTCCACGCATACCAATCTGCATTCCGAAAGGCCTTCGAGGAAAATGGTTGTGTAGGGGGGCGGAGGCCGTATGAATCGGGTTCCCAGAAGGCCTTCTGGGAGCATGGGTTTGGGGCGTCTTGGGGAGCCTGTTGGGGCGTGCCGTCGTCGTCGTCGTCGTCGTCGTCGTCGTCGTCGTCGTCGTCGTCGTCGTCGTCGTCGTCGTCGTCGTCGTCGTGTTGCTACGACCCATTCCCGAACCTGACCTGGGGGGTGGCCTGACCTGGCGCAGACCCGATTGGCAACAGACCCGACACGTTCCGTCCAAACTGAACGACAGGTTCGCACGCGCCCAGCACGAAGGGACGGCAGCTGCGGTCGCCAGTTGTCTCGCGCCGAGTCCGTAAATTTTACTACGGGGACGGGCTGATGTTTGCCTCTTGAAGGCCCTCTCGGGGTCCTCTTCGGCCATCTTGAAGCCATCTCGGGCCCTCTTGGGCCTCGCTGAGGCTGTCCTGGGGCCCTCTCGGGCGTTCTCGGAACCCGGAAGTCATGTTCCCGGAGAGGCTTCCGGGAACATGATTTCGAACGGGGCCCTCTTGGGCCATTGGGCCTCCCTGAGGCCGTCTTGGGGGCCTCCTGGGCCGGCTTCGGGGCCTCTTGGGCCGTCTCGGGGGGTTGGGTGAGCCCCGCAGGCCGACCCTTTTGGGCCGTCTGGGGCCCTCTTGGGTCTCTCTTGGGCTGTCTTGGGCCTCCGCTCTTCGGAGGCTTCTGGAGACTGAAGGCTGGAATGTTCGGCGAGGGGGCCACGATTCTCGTGAGGGGTGCCAA